CATGTCGTGACCTACCCCTTGAGAGCTGCCTCAGGAAAGTAGATTTAGAGGTATTTTTAGGGGACCCTCCCTAAGTTCATATCTCACGTGATATTAGTTGTTTAAATATATGTGTTCGATAGGAGTCGCCACTAGCCATTATTAAGGGTCAACTAAAAACCCTAATCGAGATGCAGAAATGTCATCTCGAAAATATACGCAACCGGAGATTCTTAGGGATCGGGGACTTGATTGCACTAGTTTTTCAGCTAATGCCCTTTCGGTACCTAAATTTGACTATTTGCTAACCAAAATGTCAGGGCGGTCCTTCACTAACGGAAAATTCTAAATTTTGTCCTAACCATTCTAAAAGAGAAAAACAATAAACAATGTATTTAAAGTGCGCAATCAAATGAAAATGCACAAACAGCGACCGAACGTCGTCTCTAAAAGAAAAGACAATCACAAATTCCCAAAGAAAAACCCTAAAGGCTTACTCAATTTTGGATTCAATTTTTGTTCAAGCCTAAAGTGTTTAGTGAAAGCCCTAAACTAAGAGAATTCTACATTTTTTTTTAGCTTTTTTCCCATTTTTTATTTTTTATTTTTATTTCGGGAAAAAGGGAATTCGGACCGGGTCAAGGAACCCGGTCCAATTCTCTTGTCTGACCCGTACCTTGGGGTCTGAACTCGGATCAGCTTTTGGGCTCAATATGAATAAGGCCCAAATTATCAAATTTCGCCTGGCCCGATATTATTTTAGCCCATGTCTATTTTTTAATCCAACATATTCAACCCGGCCCAGTCTGTTTATTGGATCCGACCCAGCTTTCATGATATGCCCATTTTATTTCTTTTCTGATTTTTTTTTTGTCTCCTTTTTTTATTTTTTATTTCTTTTTATTTTTCTTTTTTTTCTGGTTTTCTTCTTCCCGAGACCTGCATGGAAAGAGCTTCTTCACCGAAACGTCACCAAAACCGTCGGGAATCTATAACCCTCGCCGTCGGCCATCTATTCCAGCCACCGCCGAACTTCCTTTGACAACAACTTACAGCCGCCGTCGCCCCTCATCACACACCGGCCACAGTTAAAAAAAAAAAAAAATAACAGAGCCTCTTATCCAATCGGTCACCAATCTCCATCTAATCAAACATGCTAAATCTAAACACACATACACACATATATATCAAGGGAATAGAGAACTAACAAGGGATGGCCTCCAGCCGCAGGCATCTCCGGAATCGAAGGCTAGAGAATAGCGACTCGAAACTCATGTGTCTCCATGGATGATCGGCACCGAAAATCGCAAATGCGTAACATGAAACAAAGGGTAAAAACGCGGAATCAGACTTAGTTATGCAGTCAATGAAGTAATCGTGCATATCTCTAAACATCGATCACACGAAAACTAGTTTCAGCACTTCTCTCAGACAAATTGTCGAGCAGGTCATACGCAGTTTAAAATATAAACTCTCAGTTTGGGTTCAATACGATTCTCGGCTCGAATGCGATATAAATAGACCTCAAACCATGATTATTTACAACAAATCAACCTCGATGCGTCGGGATTTTCGTACAGATTCATCAAGTAAGACTCGGTACCTCTGCACTCAGTGATGATGCAGGGGAAAACAAGAGCATTGAAGGGAGAACTGAGTCTTACCTGGTTCGTGCGGCGAGAAAGAATCGCCGGAATCAGCAAACGAATGAAGCCAACGATCACTTTCTCCCACGGAATCTTGATCGCGAAACCGAGTAAATATGGCAAGTTCGGTGCTCCTCGAGCGACCGGCGACGAACTCGATTTCAGTCGGAGCCGATGGTGATTCCGGTGAAAATACTCTCAAAGGCCCCCACGATTCCCCTCTCCTCTCCTCTCTCTCTCTCTCTCTGTAATCCTCTCCCCGTCGAGCAAACTCAGTGTGTGTGGGATCCCTCTACTCCTGTGATGGTTACAGCGGGTTTTTAGGTGGTGACCGGAGATGGTAAGCGATGGATTCCAGCCGAGAGAGAGAGAGAGAAAGAGAGGAAGTTCTCTCTCCCCCTTCGGAGTTCCAACTGATTCTGTTCTTCTGCCCCCCATAGCTGAGCCGTTATCTCTAAAGGAATCTAAAAACCAATTCCGTTAGCCCTTCTCCAGCTCAGCTTCTAGAGGAGCTTCGATTTTTCGGGCTTTGATCACCTGTTTGTGAGACACGATCTTGTTATGTTCCCCCCGCATCGCCCGCGAGCTCTCCCCTCTTCTTTTATTCTCTTTGCTAAGATGAAGTGCAGAAGGAGAGAGAAACGGTGAAGAGAGGTAAAAACTGGGCTGGGCTTCTTTTCTTTTTCCTTGAAAATTCCTTTTTATTTATTTTATATTTTCCACTCTCGTGGCCCTTTTTTTTTTTTTTCGTTCTCTCTTTCTTTTTCTTCTTCCTTTTTTTGTATTTTTTTTACTATTTTCCAATTTTTTTTATTGATTTTGATTTTCTTGATTTTTTTATTTTTTATATATTTTTTTGAAATTAGGTGTCAACGCGCCATTTATTAACAAGCGTGTTGCCATCCGCTTTATCTTCCTTTGTATGAATACACGACCATATGAATTGTTCACCTTATTATAGTACTTCTAAATTTTCATGAACCGCCTGTTCCTTGACTTGTTCACTCTAAATAAGGTTCTTCCGATCATCTTTTGTCTTTTACTTCAAACTTCAGGTAATCAGCGGCGGTAGCATTCTCTTTATATTTGTTCAATCCTGAGACAAGACAACATTTGCATTTATCCGATAATTGATAGAACCAGATGATTTTATCAACGTCAAAAAATCATAAGAGATTTTCTCCATAAGGTAAAGTTTCCGTGTGCTGCAATAAATGATGGGAGGCTTCTCTTGGTTATATATAGAAGGGCTCTCTAGGTGTTGTGGCGTGCCTTTGAGGACCGAAGAAGAAGAGGGTCATTACGTGATTGTCCTTCGCGTGAATTTCGTTCATGAATTACAACCTTCGTTATATCGCTTGTTTTACTGTCGAATTTTGTGTTGCTTACCCGTGGACGTAGGTCATGCTGATCGGAATACATAAATCCGGTGTCTAATTTATTTCCTCTTTCTGTCTATTTTATTCTATCGCTTGTTCTTTATTTACAAGAAAACGCGCCCAAGAATATGCTCTAAACTTGGAGCTAATGTTCCATTGATGGAGAAGATAGTAGTTGTGAATAAAAAGTCACCATTCTATTCTCCACCACGTCCAACGCAATCTCGGGACACCCTAGTCTTCTACACTTCCCAGGAGCTTTAGGTCTTCTTGTCAAACAATTTTTCTTCTAAAGTCTTTGAGAAGGTCATGCATCAACATCCTTCGTTATCATCTATCTTTATCAACGACATGCTAGTAAGGAAATTGATCTCAATTCTCGGGAAAAAAATTCAACGCTTTCCACATACAATTTGGATGGAAATCTTAAGCAGTAAAAAAATCCAATATTAAGAAAAGTTTCTCTTTGTGCATCCTCTAGCATTTCAAAACTAATCTTTAATTTGTGAAGGACATCTTGATTAGGAAGTAAATCTATATTCTTCAACTTATCTTTCCAAACTCATTTACAAAAACCAAAAAAAGAAGAACTGATAACCTCGCGAGTCAAAGGAAGTCCGCTAGCTTTGCAAATAATATAGTGAGAAATATGATAGGAGTCGTGTAAAGGGTGCTTACTAATGGGCTGAAGAGCATGGTGATGGCGTAAATGAAACGGGAGACTTGAAATTAATGTACTTAAAAGAACGATCGAACGAAAATGCAACAGAGACTCTGAATAATTGAGCATGTCCTATCGATTTTCTTAACCACATGCATATCTCATCACAATGTGATCATAAATTGCCTTAATTTAGCTTCTTCTTCTTTCTTTTAACGCGAGCAGATTGCTCATATTCAATGAAATCATTCTTTCTTTTAGATCCTTCAACTATACTGTAGTCATCTTGAGACATTTCATTTTCCCTATTTCTGTCCGATCCCCCTCTTTAAAAGCACATCACGTGGGAGAAAATAGGTCACTGGACGAAAGATTATGCCGGTTTCGATTCCAAAACATTTTAAGGGAAAAAAAGACTATAAATCAAGGTCTTAGCAAATTGCTATTTGGGATGAGAAAAAGGAGCAATAAATCGTGACGTCCTTTTGGAGGAAATGTGCTCGGGGCACGTGCTACCCCGCGGAATCGATATCGGACTATTGACATGCCAGGAGGGTTATAGATATCATATAGTCTAAATTAGATATATCCTAACGGTGAGACCCTATGGTTAATTCCTAGTGGTTTCTATGCAAAAAGTGCCTTGTGGAAAAAGATAAAATTAAAATTTTGCCCGACCGACGATGTTCACGTTTTTTTTTGCTAGCCAAAGCAAAAAGGTCTTAATTAGTGTTGGAAAAATATTTTTGGTTTTCTTGTTTTGGCTTCGATTAAAATTCAGACAAAAATTTGCAAAGATCTAATTATATGTAAGCCACGAAATTTAAGTTAGATAAGAAAAATGAACAATAAAATCAATCCAAATCAGTCGTATTGTCGAACTAGGTAAAAGAAATCGATTTTAGGCCTACATGGACCAGAGTATGTTCTTAAATTATTATGTCCGAGACTTCGTACGGATCTCAGCATCTCTTGGATGTAAAATATATAGAGGGTAGAGTCGGGTACTGAACTCGAAAATCACACAGCCAACTTGAGGAGTTGAGTGTGCGGGGCCCGACACATAAAAATAATAAATGTAGTTCTATTATCTCGTTAGATGTATGCATCTGGATAGGCTTTCCTCTGCTTTGCCTAACAAGGCAAGTTTTTTTCGATTGTAGGCCTACGGACTCCAGAAATTTTGTCCACTTTCTTCGCTTGTAAGCCAAGCACTCGTGAAAAAAAGCAAAGCACACGTGATTAAAGTGGGATTGTTCGGCCAAAAATGAAGTCAAAAGACGTTCATGGCAAGACAAGAAAGTGACAAGAAGACGACCTTTACTTGCTGTCTGTTTTTTTTGATAACTTGAACGGAAGAAGAGAACCCAGTTGCTTTTAGCTTGAACTCCACTTGTCAAGCTTTGTGTCAGCTCCGATCATAGGCAAGCGTGCCGACCATCTTCTTGTCGGGTGATACCAAGAGAGAGAGAGAGAGAGAGGGGCGCGTACTGATGTCTGTGACTGCTGACCAAGAACCTCGGATGCCCACCACGGCGGCCGGGACGAGCAGCGACGCCACCGCGCTAGGAGCTGGTTACCAGGTGTTCTTGAGCTTTCGAGGGCCCGACACTCGCCACGGGTTCGCTGACTACCTCTACCACGCCTTGGTCGGCGCCGGAGTCCGCGTCTTCAGAGACGACGAGGAGCTCCGCGTCGGGGAAAAGATCGGCGGAGCGCTGCTGCGAGCGATCGACGACTCCAAGCTCTACATACCCATCTTCTCCAGATCCTACGCTGCCAGCAAATGGTGCCTCCGCGAGCTCGCTCGGATCGTGGACAACACGTCGAGATCAAAGGGGAACAAGAAGATACTGCCCATTTTCTTCGACGTGGAACCCGATGATGTGAAGCTTAAGACCTCTCTGTACAGCGATGCTTTAGTGGAGCATCAGAAGAAATTTCCCGACGAAGTGAAGGCGTGGCGAGAGGCTCTTGTCGAGGTTGATAAAATTAAAGGATGGAACTTGAAAAAGAATCGAGGGTAAACTCTGCAGATCCTTTGACTTTCTTTTGTATCATCTCTATAATCAATAGATAGACCAATCTCCATGTGTGTGCAAATGGGGCACCTAAAAGAATGAAATTTTGTTCTTTTTTTGTCCTGTACTGTTAATTCAAACTTTCTGGTAAGAAACATTGACAATTTGTGAATTTGCTCCCCGTAACTTGATAAGCTCGATTTATTTGCTCTTTGGTTTGATTCTGAGTCTAATGAGTTATCTTGCATTGTTGAATTATGTCCCAGGAGGTTGTGTAATGCATTTATGAATGCATATGCCATCCTTAATTCACAAGTTCAGTGAAGGGCACTGACCAGATTAGATACTTGACTCAGGGCCTACAGTTCTTCAGCTCAATTAACAAAGGAAACCAGACATCTGGTCTTACACAATGGTTTTGCAATTCTAAACTTACATGAGGTTGTGAAACTAGTTTTGGTGGGTTCTGTAAGCTTGCTGATTTCTCTCATACGTCTCAGTTCCTTTATAAGTTCAGGAAGAATAATAAATTCCATTTGGTTATGGTTCCCTTGATACAATAATGTCACTCCAAACCGGGGTTGGTATTGCTTTAGGGACATATTTCAACCTGCACTCGGTGTATTTGGACTATTAAAGATTAGTAAGGAATGACAAGACCTACCCTATCCGATAAATGTTGAGGCAACCTGATTGAGAATTTGTAATGAGTTCCGTGATGACAGCGGAGGGCCTAGTCGAACTAATTTTGTATTCCTTTTTTGAGTTCTGATATGAAAGTTCTCTTTGTTATTACAGAGAGTTCATATGTATTCAGCTATTGAGAGTTCTTTTGTTCATGTACTGCGAATTTGATAGTGAATTCTATGCTCATTTGCTTGTGGATGCAGGCCAATGGCCATACCTCATAGGTTATTGTATCAATTTCTCCCACTGTCTATTGATTTTCTTGTTTATTTGTTGGTTAATTGACAGTTTCATATTCGGACTTCTTCCTCAAATACTTATCAAAGACACATGATGTTGAAATCCGATTGCATTGGGTCCTGTCATATACATGCTTGGAGGTTACAAGAACTTGCATATATCATTCTTTTCTACTAAAAAGATGTTCTTGTTGACAGCCAAGGAGAGCTTACGAAACTGGTTGTTGAGGAGGTGTTGGATAAGCTCAAGACTAAACACAGATATGTGACTGAACATCTGATTGGAATGGATGACCGAGTAGCAGCCATAAAAAAATTGTTAGACATCCATGCTGGTGGTGTACGGCTTGTTGGAATTTATGGGATGGGTGGTATAGGTAAAACTACCCTTGCCAATGTCATCTTCAATCAACTATCTTCTGAATTTGGAAACTGTGGAAGTTTCCTTAATGATATCCGAGAAGAGTCAAAGAAGGATGGGTTAGTCAAGTTGCAAGCCAAATTAATATCCGACATTGTTAATTCTAGAGTTATAGGAAAAATTGATGACATTGGTTATGGAATGAGGAGGATCGAAGAAACACTTTGCAATAAGAAGGCTCTCATTGTTCTTGATGACGTTGATAAGAGCGAACAAATCGAGAAATTGATCGGAAGTTCTTTACATTCGGGAACTAGAATAATTATAACAACGAGGAATAGAAGTTTGCTGCAAGTTAGGGGATTTAAGTATGAAATTCTAGACTATGAAATGCGGGAGATGAATTCTAAGGATGCGCTTCAGCTTTTCAGTCGGCATGCATTCTGTGGGGACTCTCCACCAGGTGATTACAACAAGCTTTCGAAAGAAATCGTTTGTGTCGCTGGAGGACTTCCTTTGGCTCTTGAAGTTATCGGTTCATTACTTTATTGTAAGGAGGAAGCAATATGGATAGAGACATTGGACAAGCTAAGAAACATACCAGAGAAGGAGGTCCAAAGGAAGTTGAAGATTAGCTACGATGTCCTTGATGAGTTTCAACAGCATATTTTTCTTGATATCGCTTGCTTTTTCATTAATGAGGGTATGAATGATCCAATTTACATGTGGACCGACTGCAGATTTTTCCCAAAACGTGGAATCGAAGTCCTTATCAACATGTCCTTGATAAAGATATTAAAGAACAATAAGCTTTGGATGCATGATCAGTTAAGAGATCTTGGAAGGGAAATTGTTCGTCAAGAAAGTCCGATAGACCCTGAGAAGCGTAGCAGGTTATGGATTAGAGAGGAGATACTCGATGTTATAAGTTCAGAAGAGGTAAAGTGAGAAAAACTAGTAGTTTTTGAAACGAAATTTATATTCCCTGTTATAAGAAATTCACTTGTCTGCTTAGTAGCTTTCTTTTCCCTGTTCCTTTTATTTAAGCTGTGAAACAGAATGGTTATTTGTCAACAAAACTTGTACTCATCATCCTAAGTCTTTATGGGCAGAGGAAGGGAAAGGTTCAAGGACTTGATTTAGATGGAAGGCATACTCAGATCTTACTTACAAATGAAGAGTTTGAAAGGTTTCCGCATCTAAGGCTCCTTAAATTATGCAATGGAACCTTTGTTGGGGACTTTGCAAATTGCCGTACAAAGTTAAGATGGATGTCTTGGGATTCTCCTCCTCCAGATGTTATGGTGGCCAATATGTATCTACAGAATGTAATTGTTCTTAAACTTTCTACCAATCACTTCAATGATTCGGATGTATGGGGCCTAATCAAGGTATGCTCTATGTTTACTTCTTCTCTAATCGTCTGTTCTCAAAATCATTAGATGTTCTGTCATTTGGAAGCTTCATTTATTTTGGCAGATGGCATGCAAATTGAAAGTACTATCTCTTCAAGATTGTCCTAGCATAACAAGAACTCCAAACGTCTCTGGATGTTCTACTTTAGAGAGGTTGACTCTTCAGGAATGTGAAAATTTGATGACAATCGACTGCTCCATTGGGATGTTAAAGTGCTTGGTTGACTTGGATATTGACTGCTGCCCCCTCGAAGAGTTGCCTGATGTAATTGGAGGGCTGGTGACTCTTAAGCGCCTCTCTTTAAAGCGCTGTTTTAGGCTGAGGAAACTCCCCGAGTCTATTGGTAAGCTAAGATGCCTATTAACTTTTGACATTTCGTATACCTCGATTAATGAACTTCCAGATTCTGTTGGAGGGCTGCCGAAACTTGAGTTTCTATCCATGGAATCGACAAAGATAAAGGAACTCCCAAAACCTATTCTTAAGTGGGCATTATTGCGTGAGTTGGATTTGTCATTTGCAAAAATCATTGAATTACCTGAATCAATCGGAAATCTAAAAATGCTGAAAGTGATACGGGTGGGTTATAATCCAATAAAGAAGTTTCCTCATGCTCTTGGAACATTGAAGAACCTTGAAGAGCTACATGCCCCTAGTTGTAAATTGGAAGGTGAAATCCCTACCGAAATTGGAGAGTTGTCCATGTTGAGAATCTTCGTTTTGAGGTCTAATGAAAGAGTTAGTGTGCCAAGGACAATTGTTATGCTTCCTCTCTTGCAAATGCTGGACTTAAATACGTGTAGTGAGATTCAAGAATTGCCAGAGCTTCCCTCTAGTTTGACCGATCTAGTGCTGGAATCCCGTTCTCTGCGATTTGTCCCTGATCTCTCAAACCTTACCAACTTAGTTAGATTGGTCCTTTCTGATGGATCTCTGGTTAGAGGCACAACAAGCTTAAGAGAAACTTGTGACATGCGATGGCTACGGAGTTTTTCCAAACTGAATGAATTGAACTTATGCCTGTTAAATATCCCCGCACCGCCTACAGAATTGGGCTCCCTTTCTTTTCTGGAAAAACTTACTTTGTATGGACTAGACCTGCAATCCCTCACAGAGCTTCCATCATCTCTGTTATACTTACGAGTTCATAATTTCAGCTCAGCAGGGTTACCCATATCCAACTTGAGAAAATTGTCAACTTTCAGACTCTCACGATCAGAGGTGAAGGAAATTCTGCTTGATGGGCTTCATCAATTGTCAAGTTTGAGTGTCTCGGACTGTGAACTCCTGGAGAGGCTATCCTTTCCGTCAAGCATAAATGAAATCTCTGTTATTGGTTGCCCTAAGCTAGTTGAGATTCATTTTCCAGGTGTTTTGGAATCGCTTGAGAGATTGGGTATTGAGAGGTGCGAATCTTTTGAAAGGTCAAGTTTTCTGCTGGAGCAAGGATGTGATGAGCTGACATTTTGTGGGGGGAGATTGTCCCTTCTATCAAGTGCCTTTAAGAAGCTGAAAGAATTCAGTGTTGTAGAGTGCCCAAAGCTAGTTGAGATTCAAGTTGTCGGTATTCTGGAATTATTGGAGATATTTTCCGTGGATGGGTGTCTGGCTATGGAAAGATTAGGTGGTTTATCAAACTTAAAGAACCTCAAGTCGTTAAGTATGAGAGAGTGCAGTGCTCTTCGAGCTGTTGAGGGCCTCGATCAATTGGAGTGCTTGTGTCGATTGCTTGTTGGTGATTATGGATCACTGGAAAGGTGGATTGATGTATCGAGTGCAAAAATACCAGATGAGTGTGAGATGTTAATTTGGGATTGCAGGGGTTCATCAAGTGAGTTTTGTCCACGTAAAATTGAGTGCGTCTCATTCAATCGCTACAGAGAGACAATTCTTCTTGGACCAAACCAGGTGCACCTTCTCTTCCTGGCTTATGTTTCTTCATTGCAAGTGCAACTCGCCCTTTCCCCTCTACCTGTTCATTTCTTCCATGTATCATATTTAGTTTCTGTGGAGTATTTTACTCTGGTAGCACTTAGAGAGTATTTTTTGTGCTCTGATATCAACTGTTGGTTATGGTATTTTACTTCTTTTTTTTTGGGCCGCGCTTTTTCCACTCCCAATATAGCTAAGCCACTCCCTTTTTTGTTATTTTGACCATCCTATCCTTTATGGGGCCCACTACTTTTGGTACAATTTTACATAATCCTTTTTTATTATTTGGTCAATTCTGTTTATTTTGTTTCTTTATTTTTTTTCCATATGGGTCTCACTTTCCTTTTTCTTTCTTTTCACTCCTCCCACTCCTCTCTCTCAGTTCTCTCTTGCGTGCTTTCTACGCCTCCCGTTCCTTCTTGTTCTTCTTTTTCCTACAAATCTCTTTTGCCTCACAGTTTGCTCTGTAAACTTGAAGGGAGTTTTGTAGCTTGCTACCATCAAATGTATTTGCAATTGATCGCCTAGTTCATATTAGAATTGAAAATCATATTTCTTTTGGGTTTTTTTAGTGTTTTCTCTAACGCAGTTTTCCCCATTACTGGCTAAGAAAACCCGTGCTCCTTTTATAGGTATTAACAGCCGAGTTCATGGTTGTTGACAAACATATCTAGTATCAATGGGAAGGCTCCAACAAACTGATTCAATTTGTCATATATTTAGTGCATGTTCTTGAGAGCTTTTGTCTCTCATATTTCTTGATTTTCTCCTTTATCTAGATACTAATCATGATTTGGTGTTCATTCCATCTTCGAAAATCTAAAGATGCTTGTAGCCGAAACCTGAAGAATGGTATTTTTTGTCGATCTCATTGTCATAGTTAACAATGAGGTTTTAATGTAATCGACCTAGATATGAAAACCCAAAGTCATAACTTTTTTCTTACAAAACATTCAAATGCAAAGATAAGTTGAAAGCTTTCTGCAAGTCATCGGAAAAAGCACAAAAAAAGAGGAGCAAAATCTTACACCAAAGCATCAATTCTAATTACATCAAAATTTCCATAAAACAAATAAAGAAAAGTAACAAGTTGCGTATGCAACTTAACAAAAAATATTGTCCACTCAGTTGCTTGGCTCCCCTGAAGAAAATTCATTATGCCTATATTTCATCACCATGAATTCCAATGGTTCTTGAATGTGTGTTTGATCCGAGATCTTCACCTTTCGATTTACATGTCCGACTATTATGACCATAACCTTTACAAGTACCACATCTCTTCCTCTTTTCAATAATCTCAAATGCCGAAGGATCGCGTTTTGTAGAAGTTGCTTCTCCTTTAGTTTTTGAACTAGAAGGACGACCTTTATGAGATGTAATTTGGGGCTCATATAAGATAGTATCACTTGCTCGAATAAAATGCTCAATTTGCTTTCGAACAATTTCCTTTTTGGATTACTTTGTCTCAAGGAAGAAAGAAATTGGCGAGGAGGTATACTGGCCTTAGACATCTCTTTTACCCGCAGAACTTCAACTTTAGAGAATCGACGACAAGTAGGATGTCCTGATATATCACTTGAAGGATCATGATTATGTGATGCATTCACTACTTTGAGTGACCATGATCCATTCTTCTTTTTATAGCCACGGACGTCAAAAGGACAGTTAATCAAACGGGATCCGGTCTTTCGTTTTTTACTCGCAACATAAATATTATGTCGATCACGATAACTACCTCCCCTGTCGCACCTAAGAAGAACATATTTGTCTCTCTTTGACCTTTTAATAGAGATGACATAACCTTGAGCAAGAAGATGGCTTTGCACACTTCTCAAAAGATCTTCTCGAGTTAGAAAATTACCAGATAAGGTTTCAAATGAACTTGTTAATATGATCGATTGCTCTTCTCCATTCGCATTTTCATCATCAATAGATGCATTCAAGCAATTTGGGTCCTCTCGAATATTATCTGTAGAGAATCAAGTGGATGCCCAATTAAAATAGAAACTCTTTTCGCAGTATTATAATGGCAAACTATCTACACCTACTCATTATAACACAATATTTAATTACCAACAGTGTATGAGTGAGTAAAACAATGGGTTAAACAAGTATAAATGATGAATTCCAACAAATGCGTGATTTCGAAATGGTTGTTGAGAAATCAAGTTCAATTCTGCACACAACTATAGTCTAGGGCTAAAAGCAACAGCTGCAACACAATTGAAAGAACCAACGCAACATTGTAGCACTATGTTCCACAAAATTAATCTATGAAAGCATAAATTTTTTGTCAACACTCTGAACACAACACTGAAAATTGCAATCAAATCAAACTGCCAATTCGAATCTGGCTTCATATCATCTAAAAGAACACAACTCACTTATTGCCCTCGACTTTTATGTCTACACATGTTTTCTTTCTCTACACTCTCACACGTGCAAGAAGAGACAAAAATATATAATTTAAAAAAAGGGAAGAGATAGAAGCGGTGCTTCTCAATATCACAAAAAAGAAAAAATATCACCTTCCATGGTGCAAGAAGAGCCTGCGTGCGGAGAAAAGGCACTCGTTGGGGAGATCACCAATGAGCCCAATGCCGGTGCCGGCGAAAGTGTAGAGGATGATGGGTTTGGCATCATAGGTAATAAACAAAGGACGACGGGTTTGTGGAAGAAGAAAGAGGAGGAGGGGGAGGCGTGGAAAGCGTGAAAGAGAGAACAGAGAGATGAGTGGAAAGCGTAAAAAGAAGAAGAAGAAGAAAAGTGAGACCTATATGAAGAAAATAAGAAGAAACAAAATAAAAACAATTGACCAAATAATCAAAAAAAGATCATATAAAATTGTACCATAAATAGTGGGCCCCACAAGGGATAAGATGGTCAAAACAATAAAAAAGGGAGTGTCTAAGCCATAAGAGGAGTGGAAAAAGCGCGGTCCTTTTTTTTTGGTCAAAATGGTATTTTATTTTAACTGTTACGTTTATTGGGTGTTTAACTGATACCATTTCTTGTATGCTATGGTGGGTAATCGAAGAATAACTGTAATAGGAAAATCAGGACACTTGTACGGTATTGTGGTGCACGTAAAATAAAATATTTCATCTTACACACTGTTTGTAAGACATTACCTTTTTTCAGACAACACAGAGACATTACCATGACAATCTATTCACCCTTACCACACACAAAATACTTTACGTTTCATGAATGAACATATCATGTGTACTACATAATAAATAGCATGTCTCGGTGATATTTAATGGGCCATACAAATCCAACTGTAAAGAAACTGTTCTCGATAAAAATTAAAGTATGAAGAAACTTCATTTCTCAATGCATTTCATTAGACAAAGAGTCCGTTTTTTCCTCTTTCTGGATGGTAGATATGTCTTAGAACATGTGATATTACATCTTTATTGTCTCAGAAAATTAAATTTGTTTTTTTAAATGGACTTATTAATTCGAAGCAAGGTTAGCTAATCAATCTGCAGATAAATTGCGTTCGCATCTGCCATGCTTCTGACTTGCTTCTTGTTTGAAGGAAGGTCTAGTAGGCATGTTGAATCAGCTTTGCAGTCTGTTGTTCCAACCATATGAAATAATTGAAAAAGGTAAACCCATGATTCTGCTTATACAGAGGAAGAAGTAACTGTAGAGCTAACATAAATCCAGTGCAATCACCAGCGTCATTGCAGGGAAACTGCCCCACAAGTTTAACCCACCATCTCAAGGAGAAACTCTGACCATCCAAATTGGATTAGAGAGGGAGAGTCTCTAGTTGACGACTTATTCTACCACTCATTTGTCTGTAACCTCATTTGCATGCTGCTGAATAGACAACATTTTGAGGAAGGTAGAATCCTTTTGAAACAACTTATTCTGCGACTTCATAGGCAATCAAATAAGTGCTTGCACACCAATCTGAACGGAAGGTCCCATTCAGAGTTGATAATATTTTTGCCACCTCTGTTGGGTTTAGATGAAACCATCGGTTAGGGTTCGAAGCAAAGACGTGCTGATAAACTAACTTGACACGGGCTTCTCACCGAAGGACAATTCCTCAAGTAGTGAAGTAAAGATTCAAGCTTGTTTTTGTAGAACTGACAATCTGAGGACGCTAAAAGTTTCTCACAAATTATACTTCATTTGTTAGAAGCTTTTTACGTGCAACCAGCCCCAAGATTTTTCTGACACTTTAAGGACCTGGCCTTTGAAAGCAGGCATCTAATGGATGCCTTCTTTAAGGGTTTAAGTTTATGGACCCAAAGAAAGTAAATGTTTAGCTCTTACAATCTCTTAAAGGCATTTCTATGCTACATTACTGTGAATGTGCTAACACCAATATTTTGTCTTTTCAGAGGAATTTCACTTCAAAGTGGTTACCGAAATAAATCATTTAACAACTCTAATTACCTGGGTTATGAATGCGAATATTCTCCAATGTTGCTTATGCTTGGTTTCATGCAAAAATTTCACAATCCCATTTTTGCTTTATTTATGACGGTAAATCCTTGGACTGTTATTTATTTATTATTATTATTATTTTGTTGCAGCGTCCATGGTATAGATTCCTATGCTGTCTCTTATAGCTCTAGGAGATATCGTTATTGCTCCGAGGAGGATGAGGAGTCATGTCACTGATTCCATGCTCCATTGGTTTAAGTATCTCTTCCTTTTTATTATTGGTGTAGTAGGTCCTGTAGTGTAGCCCTTCATAAGGAGTCCATGGAAGCCTCAATTTTGTTAGGCTTCTTTTTTCAATGTGCTCTAATATGTGTCCAAAATACTGACACTGTATGTTCACCCAAATATTGAAAGATTACATTGGTAAATGACTTTGTCATACTTTATAGGTGCATTTTGCCATTATATATATGAAAGTTCGTTCCACTGGTCATGTTTCTGTTCACAACTTTTGTTTTCTGAATCTCATAACCAGTTTCTTGGCTTCTTTTTCTCAGTCAAGCTTTCCTTCATCAAGTGTCAAGCGTTTGAAAGTATTATCATTAGAGTCGCTCAGCTTCTGGGCTTATTATGATTAGATTCAAGTTTCAAGATGCTAGAGATAATTATGTCTGTTGCCATGTCTAATTCTTTATTAACTATTTTGATCCCAAGTCTATTAATTAGAAGGAAGAAGGCTGGGTACATACTGCAGCTGTAAGGCCAATGATTTGCACTCTCAATGAAATTAATGAATTATTAATGAGTGTTAATTTCTTATGGTGGCAAAGAAAATCAAGTTTCTCTTCGGAATTACAAGCAGAAGACTGATGGCACATGACAGATGCAGAGCGCAAAAGTTAAGCGGATGAGGAGTGTCTTCAGTTTTATCGGTCTGTTTGCTTTCTCTTGAAATCTGATCTGCTACGTATTTGACAAGGTAGATTTGTTGCCTTTCGTTTCATCATGGATACTCGTGTATTGTGGAAGCTGCAGTTATCAACTAAAGACTCTGTCGAGTACTTAATATCTCTGTAGGGATGTAGTGTTGACTTTTAGTCAAATGGGGGTTCCAAACTCAGATTCATACGGCGATTCTGTCAATGAATGTTCGGTCTCAGCTGTTCAACATCTTGTGATGGGAGATAACGAGGGGAGCTTGTATTTGAACTCTTGAAATGCCTTGGTGGGCTGACTTGCATTCTTAACTCCAACTCGTTGAGCTATGAGCCAACCAAATATGTCAATCGGCCCGATTTATATCCGACGTGAAATTATTCATTGCATTCACACCTCAGCCACCCTTGAAAAATTGCATAATAGCTCGTGGATCAAGTACTCTTGCATGTGTAGTAACGAAAACCCACCTACAGAACCCAACATGAGTTTCGCCTTTGGTTTCCTAGATCTTAAATTTATCAAGAACATGACCCTCCCGTTGTAATTCAATTTTGGATGCCCTAGAAGAGTCTTCACCTCCTGTCCTAGTCGACCAGGAAAGAAATGAATGCAGACTCAATTCCTGCATTTTTGGTAGATCTAAAATGTTGAATTTAGTGGGCATCAAGCTGAATCTAATATATAGATGAGCAGATTCAACGATACAAATATATCTTATGACAACTAAATTATTACTTCGATGTCAAACTCTCAGCCAAAAGTATTTGTTTCTCATCCTTTGCCAGAAGGAGAATTTAGTCCTTTCTTGCTAGATCATAATACTCAAGTTATGTTATGGGTTCTCCTCATGTGAAGAAACTTATAGAAATTGACGACAACGGAGACAAACGGACAAGGCCGCATGTGAAGAAAGCGAAGACCGAGAGGCAGGCCTTATCGTCTCCCCATTGGATTCTTGGATAGCACCAATTGCCTTTAAATTTTATCGTTCTTACAAGGAGTCATTATGATTTTCAAAGACCGACCCACTTTTTTCAAAGCCATCGATTCTATGTACAAACGACTTTTCCTGAACACGAGCATAATTACTGATGAACACCTTGACTGGCTGGTATACTGCAACGCCAGTCTTAAAATATTGAATACTGCTGAAAAACAGCAGTACTATTATCTTGTTTAAGCAAACCAAAGAAGTTTGTCTGCATTAATGCCTCAACTATTATGATGGTGACTTTCACTAGGCTGTATAGATTGAGAAGCTCTAGCTCTTTTCTCCTAAGCTTATATAATTTTTCTATAGGGACATGAGAGAGAGAGAGAGAGAGATCTGGTAAGATAAGCTCCCATGGCGAACCTAGAGGCCGGAAGGAGCGGTGGTGGGACACCGGGAGGTGAGTATCAAGTGTTCCCAAGTTTAAGAGGAACTGACACTCCTTATGAAATTACCGATTGCATCTGCCATGCCTTGGTAGATGTAGGAATTCGCGTCGTTAGGAAAGAAGATGAACTCTGTGTTGGGGAAGTGACTGGTGGAGAGCTGTTTCGGGCTATCGATAACTCCATACGCTACAAACCTATCTTTTCTCGAAATCATGCTACTAGTAAATGGTGCCTCCGCGAGCTTGCTGGGATACTTCCCTTTTTTGACTTGAAACCTGCCGATGTCAAGCTTAAAACATGGTTGTATAGTGATGCCCCCTTGGAACACGAGAAGAAATTCCCGGAAGAAGTGAAAGCGTGGCAGAAGGCTCTTGTGGAGGTGAATGAAATCAAGGGATGAAACCCGCAGAAGGATGAAGGGTAAACTCCACTAAGATCCTTAAACTCATTTGAGGGGAAAATAAGAACACTATCTCTTGTCACTGTTTGGTTTTATTTTCAGTTGTTCATATAAGTTTTACTTGATCATGAAAATATATTTTCAGAGGAAATAACTGTACTTTCTTTAATATCTTAGAAGAGGCAAGTTCTTGTACCAGATTCTGAGAAATTCATTGCTCTTCAACTTTCATGTTTGGGGAATACCAATGATTAACCATTGTTAATTCCGTCTCAATGATGTTGTTTTTCCTTATATAGAGTTCTACATCATCGATATTGATTGGTCTTGTGCTGCAATTATGTGATTTTCTATGGAAAAATGATTGCAAGACTGACATATTAATTTATCTAAACATATCAATTCACAAATCCAAAAAGTTGCAGGAAAAACGAAAAAACGTTGCATCTGGCTTGAACTTTAATCTGATCATTTGCTTATAGTTAGATCTTCATCCTAAAATTTAATTATCGTTTTTTTGTCATTAATTAAATAGAAGGGTTTTCTTTTTGACAGCCAGGGACAACTTATCAATTTGGTTGTCGGTGAGGTTTTGGATAAGTTGAAGATAAAGCATAAGCCTGTGACTGAGCATTTAGTTGGACTGACCGGTCTGGTAGAAGAAGTCATGAAATTACTAAATATTAATTCTGGTAATGTGCAGCTCATCAGAATACATGGAATGGGTGGAATAGGAAAAACAACAACAGTCAAGGTCGTCTTCAACCAACCATGTTCATACTTTGGAAAGCGATGCAGCTTCCTTGAAGACATTCAAAAAGAGTTGACGAATGATGGCTTAGTCAAGTTGCAAGAGAAATTGCTGTTGGACATAGCTAATTCTAGAACAACAGTAAGAATTCTTGATGCTGATTATGCCATGAGGATGACCAGAGAAATAGCTAACGAATAGATATACCTATTAGGATGTCCTTGATAAATATATTAGATAACAATAAATTTTGGATGCATGACCAACTAAAATATCTTTGGAAGGGAAAGTGTTCATATATAAAGTTTGACTGACCTTGGAGAGCGTAATAGGTTGTAAATAAGTGAGCAGATCCTCGAAATATTAAGAACGAAAGAGGTTAAGTAAGAACAAAAACTAGTTTGCAAGTAATAAATTAGACATTCCAGTACTAAAAATTGCCTTTTCTACCAAGAAACATTTCTTTATATGTGATAAAATAAACAGAGTTGATGATTAATAAATGTTTACTTACAATTAGTTGGCAAAGTAACAAGGTTCAAGCATTTGATCTAGATGGAAATATACTCCCATCTTGATCACAAATGAATAGCTTGAAAGGTTTGGAAGTTCAAATTTCCTAAAGTTATCTAACATAACCTTTGTTGGAGACTTCTTAGTTCCAAAATAAGATGGATTACTTGGCATTCTCCTCAAATTTTTGGGGCGGTCTATATGTATTCAACCGATATTATTGTTCTTGAACTTTCTGACAATCACTTTAGAGATGATTCGGAGGTGTGAAGCTTAATCAAGGTATCTTAACTTATGTGTTTGTTACGTCTACTCTTATTTTCTTCTTGTATTTGTCTGATAGTTTTGCACTTGAAACAGAATACCTTCTGTAAATGGCAACCAGATTTAAGGTTCTAGCTCTCGAAAAAAAAAAATCAGCATTTCCAGAACTGCAGACTTCTCTAAGCGCTTGACGTTAGCGAGGATGACTCTTGAAAGATGTGCAATTTGACGGAAATTGACTGTTCAATTGGAAGACAGAAGTGCCTGATTGACTTGAATATAAACAACTGCTTGTGTCTTGAAGAATTGCCGAAAGAAATCGGACGGCTAGTGAAACTTAAGCGCTTCTCTTTGACAGATTGCTTTAGGGTGAGCAAACTTCCAGATCAATTGGGAAATTGGCATCCTTGATGGAGTTGTATCCATCAAACAGGAGAATTACAAGCTTACTTGATGCAATTTGCAGAGTAAAATATTTTTCAACTCTCCATGTATGAAGAATGTCAATGAACGAACTTCCAGGAGTCCAGACTCTATGGAAGGCTGGAAGCGCTAGTGAAGCTCGACTCTTTCTCTCTGATTAGCACTAGGATTAGAGAGTTTCCTATCTCCATCGGAAAGCTGAAATCTGTCTGTGTGTTGGATATTTCGTGTAAGATGATACCTATATCAACTGGAAATGGTTGGAAGTTACCTAGTGCTATTGGAATGTTGGAGAATCTTGAAGAGATAAATGCAGAGCGCTGTAAAGAGTTGGAAGGAGAAATTCTAATGAAGTTGGAAATTTGCTCCTGTTCAGAATCCTAAATTTATCAGGTAGGTACACAAATAGACACCATCCCTAGCGTAATCAGCATGCTTCCTCGCTTCCAAAGCTGGACTTAAGTAGAGTTGTCGAGGGACTTAACCAACTAGAGATTTTTGATGAGTTGCGTATTTATGGGTGTTATTCACTGGAAAGACCGATGGATGTGTGCACCACAAAAATACTTGACATGACATGGCACTTATAGTGAATATTTTTAAAAAGTTATGATACATAAGGGATTGACCAAAAAAAGTGATCGATCTAAAAGTTATATGACACTCAAGCGATCGGAATAAAAATTATAACATTTAAATGAGTGAAAAAATATTGCCATACTCAGATAAGCACAGTGTGAAAATTATAATACTTATAGCGAGCTTTTGGCTCCTCTGCTCGGAAGTTTTGGCAAGTAATCACTACAAATAATTGAACGTTCATTTGTTCAAGAAAGTAATAAAACATCGCAACTTGGGAGGTTTCCCTAGGATCCCATTATTGGCTTCAGGTTTATTGGTGACCTCAAACGGCACCTTTTGTACCTTTTTTTTTTCGCTGGAAGGCACCCTTTGTACTCATGGCTGAGTTTCAAGGTTTTAGACCAGTGGTTGCTACTTTACCTCGAGACCCTCAATCGTGATTGATGTGAGCTTTCCATAAAATTTAAAGGGAAAGTAGTTGCGTCGAAGACTTTAAGGATTCAAGTGAGACTAGAGGTTAGCAAAATGGACCGTCCAAATCGGGATCAAATCAGACCGAACCGATCAGTTTGGTCCGATTCTCGAGGATATCGGTCCGGTTCCTGAATCCTAAAAGTGGAACCGATTTCCAAGCGATCCGGTTCCCGGTTCTAGGGTGGGAACCGGACCGGACCGATAAATATATATTTTTCTAATTTTTTCATATATATAATATTTAATATATATATATGAAAAATATTTAATATTGCTCCCATTGAAACCGATTATTCAATTTTTTCATATATTATATATATTTTTCCAATTTTTTCCATGACCTTATGGGATCAAATCAGAACTACAAAGGAAAGAACGGAACAATCGGTTCCCGATTTACAAATAATATTTAATATTGGTCCTATTGGAATCGGACTAGACCGGACCGGACTCCGGTCCCCAGTCCTAAAAACTGAGAACTGGTTCTCCCGATCCGATTCCCGATTCTTGGGTTGGATCAGATCGGATCGGGAACCGTTCACTCCTAAGTGAGACTAGGAGTGTATCTGATGCCCAGCCAGTTATGTCACCGATATATGGAGTGTGAATATTTTATTGTGAATACATGACAGAGAGTTCAAGAGTTCAAGCGTGTCCCTTAAAAGGACTAGAGATGTTTGGCGTGACATACGAACTCAATAGTCACTTGCGTTTCGGGTAGATAAAAAATGTCAAATTTTGTGGGCATCATTTGAACTCTAGTATACAAACGAGTAGGTTGAGCTGTATACAAACTCAAATTATACTAGAGTTTGTTTCTAGTATACAACTCTATTGGATAATAAGTAAATATTCTGTTTGCAATTCTCTAATCTAATCAATTGTATAATTGGGTTTTAAACGTTTAATTTATGAATTCAAATCCTTTTAACTGACACAATTTGTGCGATTGAGTTCTTTTGTACGTTCAATCAAGCAAAAGTGCATGCTAGCATTGCAATTTTTTTCATTTTAAATAAGAGAGGAAATTAGTAGAAGTTTAAGAATCAAAACAAAATGGGAAAAAGATGAAATCTTAAGAGAAACAAGAGAGAGGGAGAGGGAGAGAGGCAGAAGCCATGGTGGCAGCCGCTACTGATGAGGGTCCTGTAGTGGAGGTAGCCCCCATGGTGGTGTCGGTGGCGACAACTTCTGCATCGTTTTCTTTTTTGAGTCGCCTTCTCAGTTTTCCATTAAATTGAATTTAAAATATTCGTTATGCTTCTTCTTCTTCTTTTTTCATAAAGGGCCATATCAGCTTTAATAAGTGTGTTAAAGTTAAAGGTCTCGAAAATGATTAGAAGGCATAAATTAAAAGTTTGAACACAATTGAAAACTTTGGAAGAGAACAAATGAAATTAAGGTCATGTAAATGAGTACGCAAAGCCACTCATTAAGCATCCTCAACGTAGAATGTTTTGATTGACAAAACATTAACTTAGATATAACACGAGAAAAATAGTGTACGGTAGGAGTGAGCATGATTCCAGAATAAAATCTGGAACTTGAAAATTTGACCGGTGGGAACATGTAAGTTCCAAGTTTTATGTAATGTAAGTTCTAGGTTCAAAAAAATGGAGAATCCTGTTTCGATGGGTTGATTTCAGGTTCTAGGTAGGTGGAATCTGAAATTTGAATTTTGTGTTTTTTCTTGGTCTATGTCTTTACATGATCTTGCGGTGTTTCATGACATTAGATGATGAGTGTATAATCTGAAACCACTAGTCTGAGCTTTCATTTTATAACTTATTAATATTTCATATTTTTCGTGTGTCTAAATATAAGTTATGGTCAATGGATCGTAGAAGGAAGTGGTGGTCATTAAAGGTGATAAATCACTACAATTGTTAAATTAATAATATAGGTGGAACCTGAGTAGACCCTAGAATCGATTTGAAACCCGTAACATGGTAGGTTTCAGGTTTCAAATAGAATTTGTATGAAACATGGAACTACTCAACGCTAGTGTACAGAGATTGCAGACAGACTTAAAAATGGCTGTATAACAAAATCATCGGGAACTACGGAGCACTTTTCGTTGGTTCAGCTTTATAAGGTAAAACATTGGGAAATTAAAACGGGTGTGTGATGGAAAGCAAACAAGAGGAAGGGGTAGAGGTGAACGGCAGGTTCATTTGTGTAAAAGTGAAGAAAAGTATATGGCCCTCTCTCCTTGTTTAGCTGAGCGGGACGACAAGGAATCTCTTGCCATCGGGTGGACATGGACAATGTTCGGACTCGGGATAGACGGAAGCATCGGCGGTCATGGCATTGCCCCCAAGGCATCGGGGGAGGAATCTTGGGAGGCGGATCGAAGTGACTTGGGACTCCAGCAAAGAATCCGAAGCCAACGGTGACTCTGGGAGTGGGCTCTGCTTGCAGATGACAACTAACTATTTTTGCTTTCAGGTTCTCGCACATGTTTCTGAAAAGTTGCAAATGGACTTCTCAATGTCCAACTCCCAGCCAAAAATATTTCTTTCTCATCATCTCCTGCAAAAAGGAGAGTTCAGTTCTTGCTGGACGACGCCAATAATTACACCTCTTTTGTTCGTGTTAGTGCTACAGCTATTATACTGCTGACTTTCACTTGGCTGTCTATCTTGAAAATCTCTTGCTCTTAGCTTTTTTTTTTTTTTTTGGGTAAGGTAAGTGGTATAACTTTTCAACACACAAAGTCTTGCTCTTAGCTTTAGGTGCACGCACACCTATAATTTGTCTATAGGGACATCTGAGAGAGAGAGATCTGGCAAAATAAAGCTGCCATGGTGAACCGAGAGGCCGGAACGAGCAGCAATGGTGCAGCAAGAGGTGAGTATCAAGTGTTCCTGTTTTAGAGGGTCAGACACTCGTCATGGATTCACCGACTGCCTCTACCACGCCTTGGTAGATGCAGGAATCCGCGTCTTCAGGGACGATGAAGAACTCCGTGTTGGGGAAGTGATTGGCGGAGAGCTGCTTCGGGCCATCGACGACTCCATACTCTACATACCTATCTTTTCTCGAGGCTACGCCACTAGTAAATGGTGCCTCCGCGAGATCGCTAGGATGGTAGAGAACACGGACGCCTCTAATAGATCTGAGGGGATCAAGAAGAAGATACTTCCCATTTTCTTCGACGTCGAACCCGATGATGTCAAGCTTAAAACACCATTGTATAGGGATGCCCTGTTGGAGCACGAGAAGAAGGTCCCTGAAGAAGTGGAGGCATGGCGGAAGGCCCTTGTGGAAGTCGATGAAATCAAGGGATGGAATCTGAACAAGGATGAGGGGTAAACTCCATTTAAGATCCTTAAACTCATTTTATCATTTGAGGGGAAAAGAAGAACACAATCTCATCTCACTGTCTAAGTTCATTTTCAGTTGTTAATATAACTTTTACCTTATCGTGAAAATAGACTTTCAGACGAAATAACTGTACTTCTTTAATATCTTTGAACAAGTTCTTGTACCAGATTCTCAGGGATTCATTACTCTTAAATTTTATGTTTGGGGAAGTCCAATGATAAACATTTTTAATTCTGTCTCAATTATGTTGTCTTTCCTCAATACAGTTCGCGATCTATATTGCTTTGTCTTTTGCTGCAACTATGTGATTTTCTGTAAATAAATGATTGGAAGAATGCTGCATTAATCTATCTAAACATATCAAATCACAAATCCATAAAGTCGCAGGAAAACCGGAAAAACATTGCATCAGGCTTGAACTCTAACCAGATGCATTTGCATATTGCATCCTGAAAATCTTATTATCGTTTATTTCTCATTAATTAAATAGAAGGGCTTTTCTTTTTGGCAGCCAGGGACATCTTATCAAATTGGTTGTTGAGGAGGTTCTGGAGAAGTTGAAGATAAAGCATAAACCTGTGACTGAACATTTAGTTGGACTCCCTGGTCGGGTAGAAGATGTCATGAAATTACTAGACATCAACTCTGGTGATGTGCGGCTCATTGGAATTCATGGAATGGGTGGTATTGGTAAAACAACACTAGCCAAGGTCATCTTCAATCAACTATCTTCGCACTTTGGAAAACGATGCAGCTTCCTTGAAGACATTCGAGAAGAGTCAAGGAAGGATAGTTTAGTCAAGTTGCAGGAGAAATTGCTATCGGACATTATTAATTCTGGAGCAATAGGAAGAATTCCCAATGCGGATTATGGCATGAGAAGGACC